CACCCTTGCTGCAGACGTCAGGTCAGCATGGCTACCTGTGGAAGGGCCCCACTCCCCCCCGCCACGCCCCTGCCTGCGTGCGGTCGCTGTATCCCCCCAGCCTTGGGAGGCATGAAGCATTCATGGTAACCACCTTACAACAACAAACAAATTCATAATGCATTTGATCAATAATTCTTAGAGCTTCCTCTGATTAAATTCTGGGAACCCGTTACCAGAAATGATCCTGCATCTATACATAGAACTACCTGGAAGGTGGGACAAGGAACCCAAGACAGCAATCAAGGAATGTGGCCTGGTAACACTGACCGCAGTGAGACCTTAAGGTCAGTGAAATGCTGCCTTTGGGGAGATATCTATGTGGCTGATGGTATAGGTTTCTCTCTCTCTCTTAGATAGTCCAAGGCAAAGATGTAGGAGCTTTTAGGGGAATGTTTAGGAGTTCTGTCCAGAATTTGGGGTGTTTCAATAACATTCATGAGATCTCAAAATACAAAGATAATGTGATGGCTTTCTACATGAGGCTAGAACAATAATGTACAGCAACATAATGGGCCTGTACTTGGAGCTGATATTCCAGTTTGAAACAGAAAGGAAGAAAAAGTGTTAAAAAAATCCAAGCAAAAATACAATAAACCTCCCTGATAACAATCACGTTAAATGATACCATAAATTTGAACTATCTGGCATATCAAGGGTTATGAACTGTACCTGGAATCTTGCTGACACTTGAGCTAGTAAAACAATGGATATGTGGTTAGAGGTTAAAGTCTAAGTTAGCGCAATTCAACAGTGGCAAATCAATTGCATCTATTAATGGATTTATTCTGTGCTATCCATCGCATTTCTCTGCGTGTCTTGAGTGTTGTTTTCAGAGTGGCTGCTCTGAATTCAAACTAACTAATGCAATAAGAAAAGACCTAATATAGAGTGGGCATAGGTTATACTGGAGCTAGTTAACTGGATTTCGTAGCTTCGGATGTTCCCTGCCTGGTCTCACATTAAAACCACGAGTAAAAGAGTGCAGGTCTATTACAATTATATCTTTGGAGAAAAGATATTTGGTTTATAAAATACTGTATTAAGAGTTTTCAAAAGTGTGATTACAGCTCTTTGTTCTGGTTAAATAAAAGATTTGCTATTTCAAGTGTCATATTTATGTTATCTTCACTTTTTTTTTAATTACAGAATGACTCATTCACGCCAAACTATGGTAACCTTGAAGAGCAACAGGCATTTGTACCACAGAAAAACAATTCAAGGAAGATTAGAAAAAAAAATAAAGTAGTTTGATACTCATTCCTTTAAAACAAGTTAGCTATTTTATCATTATATTTTGAATTAGTTTTAGGTGCCACTAATTTGTTCTTTGGTATTGGATATTTTGCTTTGAATTTTGGATATTTATGTATGCAGGCTAACAAAAGTATAACAATATCTTTAAAGGATCAGTCAGTTAATTGAAATGAAAATATCAGAAAGCTTTCCTAATGCAAATGGCTGACATATTGTCTGTTACTTTGTAGCAGTTACAGCTATCTTAATCGATTTAGAATTGAAGGCAGACTAATACTATTGGTAAGTTTGTGGTTCCTTTGCAATGTGTTTTATTACTAATTTATTCAACAAGTAGATCAACTTCTTAACTCACAGAGTAAGGTACTATTCTGCCTGAGGAAGGGTACCAGAAATGGACCTACATTTAATAAGAAAATAATCATAATTCTACCATAAAAAGATTATTACCTACTTGATAATACCCTTTTTTCCAAATATCAAATAAAATAATATTGTTTGGCAGAACTGGCTTCAAGGGGAGTTGCTACCCTGTCATAAAAAGAGGGTAAAGCAAATTTTGGAGCGCACACAACTTGAGGAATAATAAATACAATTTTGTGAGTTCCGTTGGTGATTTTCTACTATATTTAAAGGTGGCAAATCATAATCCTCATTTTTACAGCTGGTGATTCTTGAGATGCATAGAAAATGAGTCTTTATCCGAGGTCAAACAGCAAGTTAATGATGAAGGTAAGATCAGACTTGATTACAAACTCTTAGGACCAACCCTACAGTCTTTCTTTCTTAGATGCATGAGTATAATGAAGGGTGATTTTAGATTTTAACAAAGTTTTTTTTCCACTTAATTTAAGAGAGAAGGTGAAACAATTAATTAGCCTTTCCAAGTCTCAGGTTTACAAGGCTTCCTCTGGTGGAAAAATTAACATACAACTTTCTCCTTCTGAACTGTTTTTTTTTTTTTCTTCAAAAATTCACCTGTGTTACTTTTTTCCCCCAAATTATCAACATTTTTTTTTTCCTCCGGCATCCTTTCTCTCTACTTTAATCTTATTTTAAAGTAATAGTGTTAAATCTGAGAAAATGTTTTCATGAAAACATACAATGATTCTGATAACACAAGCATTTGTCTTGAAAGCAGGTCAGGCATAGGGAACTTGGGTTACCTTCAGAATAGAAGATATTTTCCAGAGGAAAAACACATATACTCTTTGAGGGTAAAGTGATCCTGAAAAGCAGTCCTTTTTTTTCTATGCTTCACATACCATAATGAATTAACCTGTGGAACTTATTGCAATCAGACAGCCTTGAGGCCAAAGTTTTACTGAAGTCAAACCAATGAAATGGAACTCATATGCTCTAAGCTCAATATTTTGTTCTCAAATAACTGCTTATATTACATTGCTGGATGAGTCATTCCTTTTCTTTCTTCCTAAGATCTCATTTGGGAATAAGTCTATTTTATTTCTCCCAAGCTTTCCATATCTAATCTATTGGATTTTTTGCTGAATTCTCAGGGGCAACAGCCATGCCATTCTACCTCTTTTTTACACACTATGTGCTAACTGCATTGTGAGTCTTATTAGTTGTTTAGGCTCAATGCATTCCCTGCACTGCTCCTTCTGCAAGCCCAGCTGCAGGGATGGCAGTGTGTGGTGTACCCCTGTGGCTGAGAGCCCACCAGTTGATGGGGCTTCTAGCCATAGGGGAGCACCTGGCCACAAGTTCAATTAGTGACATGAAAACAACAAGGTACAAAGTTATTATACATTTTTGGGAATAACTTGTAGCTTGTTGTTTGTTTTAGCATGCCATTAATTGGTTGAATAGGTGGCTGGATCATAATTTAAAGTCTGATTAACTGGTGAATCTCACCTTAAATGTAACATGTAGTTGGGGCCAACGCATTAAAGGAGCAAGGTTTTTGACAGAGTAGTGGGAGCAAAAGAAAACCAACCAATTTTTATGATAGAGCTTCATACGTTTTTACAGTTGTATACAATTGTCTGTAATAGTAGGGACCTGTTCCCAGTGACTTGGTAGATCCCTTCCAGTCCTATTTTTCTATATTTTTACTTTATAAGAACACTAACAATGATGGTAGGCATAAAACTGAATCCAGGTTTGGTTTGAAAGTCCATAGGATTCTTAAGAGCCTAATGCTTTCCTGAGGTCCCTGGACACAGGAACTACAGTGAGCAAAATAAACTGGATATGGATGTTGCCTTATTATTCCATACCCAGCAAGGGCAGTGAGTAGGAGCTGTTCCCTTCAGAAGAACTCAGAGAAGCTGTTTGTGCCTAAAAATCCATCAGCACAGAAAATTCACCACAGGGCCTGTGCCCCTGCGCTGCTTCTCATCTTTGAATCTCTAAGTGTTGCCTGTGTGCCTCTGTCACTCTTCAATGTACTTCTCAGGGTGAAGAGTAGGTGTTTGCCTAGGGGTGAGGAAACTACAAAAAGTTAACAGTTTTGGAGTGAACCTATCTGGGCACGGTTCTAATGGAGTGGAAGACAATATTTTGAAAACCAAGAACCTGATCCTGTGGAGAAGTACAAGGGCCTCTGTGGTTTGGGAAATGTGACAAGCAGAGCGCACACTCTCTCTTTTGTGTCTTTCTGAATGTGTGCACTGATTTCTGAGGAAGTGGAAAGGAATACTTGGCCCAAAAAGCTTGTTATAAATTGGCTGTAATGTAATCCATGCAAGCATTCAGCTATACCCAATAGGAGTCACAGTCATTTACTGGGTAAGTACATACTTGGTTTACATTGTGTGTTTTTGTTTCAAATATGACAGTGCAATTCCTTTTAAACTTATTAGCTCAGGAAAAAAATAGGTAATTTGAACTTCTACTGTTATGGTTTATACTGTTAAGATCTCAATGAGACAGATTTATTATGGAATGGCATTTAGAATATACTTGAAAATTATCTTTATTATTACATCATTAACCTAAGAGACTTAATATTTTTAAATCCTTTAAAACCTCCTGCTTTTCATATCTTTTAGGAATATAATGTGCTAGTATGTGAAAGGTCCTTACTATATTTTTCTTTTGGGTAAGGACCAGTAGCACTGTCAAATTATACTTGTTATTGTATCCTTTTGTTTTGTAACTTGTAAACCAATGCTTTACCACAGTCCATAGGACTGTCCAATGGGCAGCAACTGCCAGGATGCCACTCCCCCTACCACTTCTTTTGTAGCTGAAATCTTTGGACTCTCACTCCCTCCTCCAGCTTCTGCCCTGCTCCTCAAGTCCCAAACATAGTAGAGAAAGGGGTAGAAGCCAAAGGGTTTGCAGCCAGTGTAGTGGAAGGGCCTGAGGGTCCTAGGTGGTGCATGACCCCTGGCCAATCAGAAGTTGGATATCCCTGCCCTACAAAATGGTTTCTTGTTTACAATTATGTTTTGAACATTTATATTAATAAAGAAATTCAAGTACAGATACAGAAAAAAGAAAAAAATATGCCTTTATAGTGATCTAAACACACAAATATTTAACAACTTATTCACTGACTGACAGCAATAAATACATATAATGGACCAGTTTTCATACTCATAACCTGCATTACACCTGTTATATTGCCTTTGCTTATATTTATAAGGGAAAACATATTTTACCAATGTTTGTTCATAAGTAGTCCACAGAATATGGGGGCTAGGGAAAAAGTGGGAAAGAAATACTGTTGTCTTTACCTTTATACTCCAGGTGGAAACCTGTAAAGCTAACGGATCCATCGCTCCGAAAAGCCAGATGCATGTTGTTGGAGCTGCTTTCTATTCTCTCTGGCAGCTTACTATCTTGAAAACTCCCAATGAGGGGGCTATTGCTGTCTGCTCCATCATAGATATAGAGAAAGTCATAATTTGGTTCTATACTGAAACTAAAAAAAAAACATTAAAAAGAATGGGAATATTAGATGGAGTATACTTGACATAATATTTTCATTCTGATCAGTTTAAATGAATATGTCACAACATTATTTCTGAAAGGGAAAAATACTCATAATGATGAGATGTTCCTGCACTGCCAATCTATGACCTTCTAGAGACTCTAGGGGTTAGTGGCAGTCTGCAGGTAACAGTAAAAGCTACCACAATCAGACATCTAATCTCTCTTCTTTATTGTCCTAACTTGGAGATGTGTTTTTTTAAAACTTTTGAGCATATTTTAACAAACTACTTTCTGTCCTTACAGTGGCAGGACATTGGCTTCCATCTCCTTGATTTACCTGTGGCAAACTAAAGGGTGTTTTATGTTTTGGGCATGAAGGTGATTCCCAAAGCTTTGAAGAATAGGCTAGACAAACAGTTGTCTATGACGGTGTAGATTGGGATGATCCTGTCTTGAGCAGGGGGTTGGAGTAAATGACCTCCTTGGGGTCCCTTTCAGCCCTACTTTTCTGTGATGCTATGATTCTCTTTGTTTGAAGATGGAGACATTTTCTTCACCAGACAGACTTTCACATGCCTCCATATGTGAACCGAGATTGAAAAACGTTATTGGTGAAAGCAAGAGGCAAGACTTAATTTTCATCTGCATAATTTACTGCCTACATTTCATAGGTTCACGACTAAGGAAATGTAGGCATGAAAGCCCTGATTCAACTCTGAGCTGGATGGGCCTTCTGTAACGTAAAAAAAAGTTAAATATTTTTATCTGCAAGGGCTGTGTGATGTTGTGAAGTGTTCAAAGATTTCTGAAGTGTTGTACTAATTTACATGACAGTGTTACAGATTCTGAAGTAATCCACAAACCAACTAACTTACTAATGTTATCAATATAAATAGAAATTAATTTTCAGGATTGGTACTCTTACAGTGCATTCTGTTATGTGGAACATCAATTCAACTGGACTAAAATGACTTAATTTACTCTATTTCATTCTTTAAGACATTCATAGATATTCTTACTAACAAACAGTTCACGTTATATTTGATGTTATGACAAATTACATCTATCTAAACTTAGTTCAACATGCAGTAGTTCAATGAATCTGTTTCTAAATCAAATGATTCATGGAGGTCTCTGAACAAGTTTTGTAAAAAGCTTATCTGTGATATAGCAGTTACTACTTTAAACTTAACAATATCTAATTTACTTGATAGCAAAATAGCCAATAAATCATCATTAGGGCAATATTTATGACAAAAGAATATACATGAAACACATGACTAAATATCAAATCAAAGAAAAGAAAAAGTGTGTCTTTCTTTGTAAAACGTACAGTATAACGGGGTCTCAAAACCAAGTGGAGTCTTTGGAAAAAACAAATATATGTCAGAAGCAGATACATATTTTTTTCTCCACAAAATTTCTCTGTACACTGATTTTCCTTTATGGATTACAAAATAGCATAAGCAGCAAGATTTCCTTTGCAAATTCTATTAATCTGCATTAAGTCCTGCATTATGATAAAGGGATTTAACAGCATTCATGAATCAGGATACTATTCACATGAGCTATTTTTTTCTGTAATGACACATGCTAACAGAACAACATCTAAAGAGTATTTTGCTTTAATCTCATGCGACTATCTCCTAAGTAAGTTGTGTAACTGATAGTCCTCATCACTGAAGTACACCCTGGCAGATTAGGAAAAGCCCAGTAAATCATGTCACTCTGCCATGCTAATCTTGCTCTAGAGAGCATCTCTGAAGGCTCAGATCTGTAAAGGGATGAGTACCACCCATTTTCACATTAGCCTGGAAGCTGGAAACTGAGGATATTCTGAAGTGCACAGAACTACTTAATATTTCACCATGTGTGCTAAATGCAATACCTATCTGACCGTTGGCATTTTTTCTGAGGCTGCCAAATGGTAACTACTGCATAACTTCATATGTATTAGGTGCTGTCAGTTCATATCCTATACAGATCCGAAAAGCCACTGACACTAATGAAAAGTATCATGATTTTATAAATGAGAACCAAGTGTCAGCTTACCTGATAAATGCTAATGATATAACATAGTCATTATTAACTGTGATAGTCCAATCACAGTCTCTGCTGTGAGGATAGGGATGAGGGAAGTTTGGTGAAAGAATAAAGCCAGATGAGCCTGTCAAGTTTCCTCCACAGGGGGCTATAAATGAAAGGAGGGAAAAACATGTAAATACTAAGCACCAGCAATCTGTTCACTGACATTCACAATTCAGGAGTCCTCAAGAAGTTAAACAAGAAATGGTAAATTTCATGGAAGAGTTCACAAAGCTTTAATAGGAACAAAAATTCAATTCACATTTCTGTTAAGACAATCTGCTAATTACCACAAAGTCAAGTACTTGTTACTAAACTTCATATCCTTTCAGTTCCTTCCCACAGCACAAGAATCAGAGCTTTTTTGAAACTGCTGTAAACTTTAAGAACATAATGGGTATTGTCATACAAACAGGCACAATAAGCATTGCATTTTGCTTCAAATTTCTATTACCAAGCATCATCAAAAGTGGCAGCATTTTTAATTGAAATAGGGTTCACCCAGGCTATGAATGCCAAGTCATGTATGTGTATTTCCAGCTGGTAGAGTTCCTCAGTAATTCAGTTTGACAGAACTTACACAAACTACACAAATAAAGGTATGCTGCTTAATTGCAGCTTGCAGGCATACAAAGAAAATGTCAGTACATCTTAGAAGCACACTCAAAATAAAACAATACTCTGTGTGCGCTTTTGAGGGCCCCAGGTTTTATGCGTGTGACCTCTGTGGGCCAAAACCATAGATGCTTGTCTTTCACACAGATAAAAGATGTAACTATGTATAAGACATGTAGATAGCAAGTTATACAAACAAACATGGTGTATTAATAAGGGAAATGAGCAATTTGTGATGCATAGATGATGTATTCTTTATGCTATGTCACATTGTATAGTATAAAAATGAGTTCATCTTTAAACAGAAGTAAAGATAGCCTTAGGAGGTCCGACAGAATAACAAAAATAAACACTGAGATGCATTGGCTAGTACTTTTAGGTTACTTGCACAGTAGTAATAAATAATGTCAGCACATTTACCAATACGTCATTCTATTAATTAAAAATCTTTAGGTATCATACCTCAAATTTAACAAAATAGGGAGAAAAGGAAAAAAAAAAATCACAGGAAGATGTCAGGTATCATTTTTAAAGAACACAACTAGACAAATATTGTAGCCTTTAATACAGGGTTTTTGGCTGTAGCCATGTTGGTCTAAGGACATAGGCAGGCAAGCTTCTTTGGGGAGATGTGATATCTTTTATTAGTCCAACTGAGTAGTTAGAAAAAGTTCTTGGCAAGCTTTCAGGCACAATCACACTTCTTCAGGCACAGGAAGTCTCTGCTGTTCTGAGATCTCCAAGGAATGAAAGAAGCTAAAAGCATGACAGGATGTCCATGAGAATGTAAATAGGTAGACATTGGGAACTCAAAGTGTGGAGAATGGAAGGGAGGAGGGGAAAACTAGGGGGAAATAATGTCAAAGGTAAGTAAGGGAGACTGTACTGTAGTTGAGTTCTCCAAGGTAGAAAGCAGGCAGTCTAAAAAAAAGGTAAATAGCTGGAACTTAGGAAGACAAAGGGTAGAAAAAGAGGGGAAGGAGGGGAGGAGGAGGTTGGGGAGTGCAAATGGTAAGGTCAGGCAGGTACCTGGTGAATCAGATGTCAAGCAGATTGTAATGTGTCATAAATCCAATGTCTATAATGAGTCCATGATTTTTAGTATCCAGTAGATTTATGAAGTGAAGTTCATAGGCTTGTCTATGAAAGGTGTTTTGCAAGTTCCCTTTGAGGATTAGAACTGAGAGATCGGAGAGTGAATGATTGTCTTGTGAGAAGTGTGCACCAACTGGTAATTGGATATTTTTGTCTTGGATGGATTTTTGGTGTGCATTTACTTTGGTGCGCAGTTGTTTTTTGGTTTCTCCTACATATTTTTCATCAGACTATACCAACTTTTCTCTGAGCCTAACCTGCATAAAATGAACTAACTCAAACAGGAGATTTTACCATACCTTTAACTCTCCTATGAAATATTAACTTTCATTTCTACCTGGGAGAACTTTTACAATCTTTTCTCCTATGCCTAAAGAAGGGTGCTTGTGCCTGAAAGTTTGCAATTATTTTTTTTTCCAAAAATCTAGTTGACTGAATAAACATATCAGTTCTATAATGAGTTCTGATTCCTATTTTCTATCAGGGCATTGGGTGCACTGGTTGAGATATGTAACATTTCTGGAGGTGCAGGTATAAGATCCAAAAATGGTGATGGTTCTGTTGTGGGATGTGATTATTGTGGGAGTGGTGGAGATGTGTGGCAGATTTGGCATTTCTTGACCTAGCATGGTCTGGATCCATTAGGTATGGTTTGGATAAGAGGGAGTTTGCTTGTGGTGATGAGGTTGGCAAGGTTTGGGTCTTGTTTAAAGGCTAGGATTGGGTGATTCTGGAAAGATCTCTTTAAGAATTAGGTCTTCTTCTAGTATGGGTTGCAGCTGTTTGAGGATTTTCCATTTAGGTTCCAGGGAAGGCTGGTATGTCATAACTAATGGTGTGCAATATGTGAGAATGTACTACAGTGAATGTGACCATTAATGTCATGTTATAAAATCATAGAATGTTACCATTTTCAGTTATAACAAGAAGGAACAAGACTGTAAACCAGAGGAAGTTTAGTCAGAGAACATTTAAAATTTTGCCCTTAAACTAAAATAATCCACTGGGCTGTCCTAGCTTTCGTACTCTACGTTAAGCTTAGAGCCTCTAACTAAACAGCAGCCATGGCTGTGTAAATAATGAATGTAATTAATTATTGCTCCGTGCTGTTATTTTGCAGGCTGTGGGGGATTCCCACCTGTCAGGTTGTGGGGGATATTAACCCCACCTGTCAGGACTCAGTATCTTACCAGGCAGGTGAATGTTAGGGGACTATGAGAGCTAAGGGACCACACCAAACTCCAGGCTTGCCAGGAGCCACCTGATCCTCAGTGAGCCAAGCTGTGCCTGACTATGCTACTGGTTTCAAGAAGGCAAGTCTATACCAACAATACAGTTGGTCAAATAAAAGATACCACCTACATGAATTCTTGCCATTCACATATCTCCCAGACCATCACAGCAACAATATCACCTCAACACTACTGGTTGCAGAGCATCAAGCTTCAAAACATAAAATCTGCATTTACAGAATTTTGGTTATTCAGCACTTCTCAGGCTTAGTGATTCATCTTGGTCTCTGGCTGCCTTCTTGCTTAGTCCATAGCTTCTATCCTGACTTGATGCTACCTCATAGTTTGAGACCTGGCCCAAGCTATTAAGATAGACCCTTCATTCTCCAGCTCTCCACCATAAAAAAAATGAACTGTCCATTTCCCCACTATTGTTTGATGAGGTAATCTCCTTTCTAATCCCAATGGATAAACCCAGCAAATATGGCAACCAAAATCTGACAAGTATATCAGTGAAGGGAGAAGAGGCAGCATCTTTCAGCACCAGGAATGGGTGAGATACCCAGGAACGTGAAAATACAGAGGGCCAGAGTTCACCAGAACCTCTGAACTGTGGAATGGGGATTTAAGAGATGAAGAAACTATTCTGCCATCTCCAGCTTCAAGTCCCACCCACATGTGATTCCAGCTCTTTTCTGCTGGTTGTAAGGGGGCGATTTTACCTATGTCAAGATTGGAATGGACTGCGGGGGTTTTGTCTTGCTCTGCAGCATGGACATGGCCCTCTACCCAGGACCTCTTGAACATATATTGTCACTGTTTTATAGAAGCAGGACATTGGCTCCCATAGTTTCCCTGCTTTACCTGTGGTAGTTTTGTTTTTTAGGTCTATATTGTGCCATGGTTGATGGTAGTCTTATGTAGAGTTTAGATTATGATTTAGATTATAGGATGGTTTGGATGTGGATGATTCTGCCTTGGCCAGATGGTTGGACTAGATGATCTCTGGAGGTCCCTTCCAGCCCTACTTCTCTATAACTTTATATGATTCTGGTGAAAAATCAGGGTCACTGTAAGAAACAAAATAGGCAACAACCTTTTCCTTAGCTTATAAGAAGTGTGCTGTATTTGAGCTATCATAAGGGGTTTCAAGATGAAAGCTGAACAATGTTAGAATTTGCACAGTTACTTCCAGACCAGGGAACTGTACATGTTGACTCAAGAGGTCCTTCCCAGACATATATTTCTTTCCTGACACCAGTGTAGAGAAATGCCACAAAACCCCAGTTGCTCAGTGCTCAGTGCATCAGGTGCATCAGGTGACTGGAAAATGCATTCACAAAGATTATACCCTGATACTCAGAATAATATATAGAATAAAATGCCAGAGAAATATACCAGCAATCATTAATGAATTCAAGATAATATAACTCTAATTGGAAACAGGGCAAGGTCAAATTAATAGAATCACATATGGAAAACACAGATTTTATGTTGGAATCAGTGTGTTATCCATTTTTGTAGAGGTTATTTTTTCTTTTACAAAATGAGTGAGGGGAAAATAAGCTAAGTGCCCAATACCAAAATGAAAAATACTTGGATATTTTATTATATATTGGTGCAGTAGGTGGTAAAAGATTTTTAAATCACTATTTTGTCTAAAAGCAATTGGAGCTAAACAACAGCAATCAGGCCTCTAGGAACATATAATTATTGCAATTTAGTAGGACTAGTAACTCTATATAGTAATCATTTAGCTCTTTGGAATAAATGTTATTTTCCAAACCCATTAGTATAGATGTATTTTCACTCTTTTATATGCGTCAGTTATAAAGATTACACTAGAACTAGTTTCTCTGTTTTTCAATGGCAGGAAAGAACTATGCACATCTTTGAACTAATCCATGAGTAAGAATTTACCATAACACTGTAGCATGCAAAAATGGAGAAAATGTTTTATCAAACTCCTTGAACTATGAAAAATGAATGTTCGTTATATGTTACTTAAGTGCTTCGACATGACCTTTGCACATTTAGACCCTATAAATGGTTTAATGGTCCAAGCTGCACCATATGCATATCAGGGATAGGAATGTGAAAATCCTGCCTGAAGAAGAGATTGAGGTTAGTCACCTATAAATAAACTTCTGTGAGAGGATCTCTG